TTTAGTGCACGTGTACAGGGTGTACTTAACTGGAGGGTTTAAAAAGCCGCGGGAGTTGACTTGGGTCACCGGTGTGATCATGTCTGTGATTACGGTATCCTTTGGTGTAACCGGTTACTCGCTCCCTTGGGATCAAGTGGGGTATTGGGCCTGTAAAATTGTAACAGGGGTGCCGGAAGCGCTGCCTGTGGTCGGCGGTTTCATCGTACAGCTGCTAAGAGGGGGAGCCTCTGTTGGCCAAGGGACGCTCACTAGGTTCTACAGCCTGCACACTTTTGTGTTACCGTTGTTGGCCGCAGTGTTCATGCTAGCGCACTTCTTAATGATCCGTAAACAGGGTATCTCTGGGCCTTTATAGAGGCCGGTCTGAAAAATTCATCACGGACAAGGTTCATCCCCGTTGTTTGTGATTAAGCCCGGAGGGAGTCGAACCCCCGACCTTGTGGTCCGTAGCCACCTGCTCTAGTCCACTGAGCTACGGGCTCTTGTTTCTTGTTGGGCCGCCCTGGGTTTGAACCAGGGACCTTACCCTTATCAGGGGTGCGCTCTACCGCTGAGCTAGCGGCCCTTGAAGCAACCGAACGCTCCCCAGGCTGGATTTGAACCAACGACACCTCGGTTAACAGCCGAGTGCTCTAACCCCTGAGCTACTGAGGAAGACTTCTAGTCCAGACACAGCGACACGTCCTTCTTGTACTGATTAGCTTGGTAAGACAAATATTGCTGAGAAGCTTCGATGTAGCTCGTCAGTAAGTCTTTTCTACCCCAAGTCTTCCACACCAGTCCTTTCTTGAGTGATAAGAAGATTTCTTGGAAACTACGCCAAGAAGCATCCAGCAGGTTCAAAAGCAATGTCTTCTCTAGGTAATCACACATGTCTTGACTGTACCATTGATAAGTAATGGTTCGTCTAGAGTCGTGTAAAAGCCAGGTACGCTCTGGTATTATGTCAGCCTTATTTTCGGCGTAAACCAAAAGCGTCCATTTAGCTGCCAACCTATGCCAGACTACAGACTGTCGATCGGACAGCATTTGAGATTTATAATAATTGAGAATGGTCTGGTCTTTGAAGGTTTGCTGTCTCACGCTGGAGAATAAAGATTCTACTCTATCTTGAGCTTGCGAAAACAAATTAGCGAGCACTCTGCTGTTGCTCGATTCAGATGGAGAAGAGAGTATAGGTAGTCCGTATAGACCCGCTTGTTTAAGAATTTTATCTTCTAAGCTAAGGACGAACCTGAATTTCCCTGGATCCCCTTGGCGACCTGTACGGCCTACCAGTTGCTGATCCACACGTGCAGAGTCTGATTTTTCGCTAGATAAAACGTACAGCCCTCCTGCCTTGCGAACAAACTCCCTTTCGGCACAACTAAGCGAAAGTAGAGGGATGCTTAAGGAAAGCTGACAAGAACAAGTAAGGAACGGCTGTTTAGACAACCGCCAAACTTTACGCAGGAATCCGTTGCTGATCGACATATCTTTGTTATTAGTCGTGGGTGCCAAATGTCGAACACGACTGTATGGGTAAATTTCCACCCGGGCCAACTCAAAGGAAGGTGCGTTGAGGAACGTTGAGCGTTGTAATGTTTTTAAACACGCTTGGGAATTTCCTCCTAGAAGAATGTCTGTGCCTCTTCCAGCCATATTAGTACTGACAGTCACTATATTTTTTCTACCTGCTTGCGAGACTACCTCTGCTTCTAGAAAGGCTCTTTCGGGCCTAGCATTCAGAAGCTGGTGAGAAATATCGTTATACGCAAAGAGCTCGCTTATTAGCTCAGATCTCTCAATATCTAGAGTGGCTATTAAAATAGGGCTTTGGTCTTGAAGCTGCGTCAAGCGGCATTCGGCAACTATACCTCTGCACTTGTTCAATTCACTTTGATAGACAAGTGCCGGTGTCTCAGAAGTCATTGAAGGTCTGTTGGTAGGTAACAGTACAACACTTAAGCCATAGAGTCGATCGAACTCATCTGCGGCTTGACTGACCGTACCGCTCATGCCGCACACATTCCTGTACGACGAAAAAACATTTTGATATGTAGTAGAAGCAATTACTTCAGGTTCATCTCTGACTGGCAAACCTTCCTTCGCCTCTACGGCTTGATGGAGTCCCTCACTCCAACGTCTTCCGGGAAGGGCCCGTCCACTTATTTGATCAAGCAGAATAATTTCTTTGTTTCTAATCATGTAGTCTATGTTCTGGTTAAAAAACAGGCGGGCTCTGAGGCTGTTTAAAATTCTACTTATCCAGGGATTGTTCCCAGCTTCGTAAAGATCTCGTATTCCCAGCAAGTGTTCTAGAACAGACAATCCAGAGGGAGTCAGAAACACATCCTTTTGCTTACTGTTCACCTCGAAATCTTCGCCTAGTTTAAGACACCGAGAGAGCTCGTCTGCTACGAAGGCTAGTTGAGTTTCCGTGCGGCTTTGTCCCGACAGGAGTAAGGGTGTTCTGGCACTGTCGATCAATACCGAATCGATTTCGTCAATTAACACATAATCCAGACTTGACTGGACTTGATCCAAACTGCTAAGACACAACGTGTCTCGCATTTGGTCAAACCCCACTTCCGATGTGTTCATATAGGTTATGTCTTTAGCGTACGCTTTAGCCCGATGTGATAGAGACGAGCCGCTCTGTATTAATCCAGTGGAGATCTGCAGAAGGCTCCCAACGGGTCGAGCCCACTCCTGATCTCTCTGTGCAAGGTAGTCGTTAACTGTCACGATATGGCAAACTCTCCCCATTAAAACATTTACCAATACAGGGAAAATGGAAGCTAAAGTTTTTCCTTCGCCGGTTTTAAGTTCTACCACTTTGGACTTTTGTAAATAATAGCCGGCCAAAAGCTGAGTATCGTAAGCTTTGTAGCCTAAAGTATTGGTAATTATGGACTGCAGACAGGCAAAAATGAGAGGTATCTCTTTTTCTGAGGTGGTTTTCCGGTCATTACGAAGACGTTTGCTCAAGTTGTTCAAGCGACTCACGACTTCAACTTGATTTTTATTTTTCAACAGGCGGTTGCCAAGATGGACTGCCTCTAGGAACTTGGTCATACATCGGAAACAGCACTAGCAGCATTGTTAGACTTGTCCCGCGCAAAGGAAATGAGACATTGTCTGTAACGGATTCCAATCGTTAGTAGCATAAATGCTGTTTTTCTCACCATTTAGGAAATTAGTTAAGTTACAAAGCTCATTGACACTAGGAGCTGTTGTATTAGCCGCAACTACTTTAGGGCTGGGATCGCCTCAAAGTAATCCTATCAAGGTGCTTGAATTTGAATTTTCTCTTGGCTACATCTTCTCAAGTTGGTGGTATTTAGGTTTAGAGATCTTACTTACGGCTAGTTTAGTGGCCTGTAGTATACTAGACCAATTTTTTGTACTGAAGTGCCAGAGTAATCTCACAAGAAACCCGTCTAGAATTAATATAAATGCACAAAGTGATTCTAGTCAAGAGAGTGCTTTTTTAGCCCGAGCCTCTAGAACTAAAAAAGCAATAACCAGAATCACCGACTCCCGCTCCCATATTATGCAAAAGGGAACGTTGAGGGAGTTGGCTCCTGTGGGAACTCATGCGCTAATAACTTCTATTGTCACTTACAGCACACTAGGCGCTTTATACTGCTTTGAAGGATCTGCAGGGTTGAGTCTCGGCGAGGGTCTTTTTCTATCCGAGTTGAAAGGGCCGAGAAGCTCTTCAATTCATGCACGCCCACTGGCTTATGCCAGGGTAAACGACTCTTGGGTACTGAATGATCCTTACCAGCCTTTCATGGACCTCTCTTTTCTCAGCATGGACGGAGAGGAGTACGGTCGATTCACAATCACTACTTCCAGTAAAGAAGCTAGTTTTCCAAGTCAAGGCATAAGTCTAGACGGCAGCCTTTCTTTATTGGGCTCACTGCCCCAACGGGTTCGAATGGTGGAGAACTCTACTTATCGTGAAATTCCTGCACTGACACTAGGCCAGGACAATCAAACCAGCTGGCTTGCTCCGAATAACGAAGACGAGGTGTTGGTAGGGCGTGACGGGGGAGTCCTGCGTCTGTGGGGTCAGCCGCCTTTGGTTGGTTGGGAACAGCAGGATATGTCCGAGCTTCTAGACGCTAAAGGCAGAGTCATGGCTGAAGTTCTATCTGAGGGGAACTTGTCCTGGTCTAACAATCAATTCAATGTCGAAATATTTTTTTTGCCTCTTCTAATTCTCTTGACCCTACTTCTGGTATTTTCTAAGGACGTGTCGCTGTGTCTGGACTAGAAGTCTTCCTCAGTAGCTCAGGGGTTAGAGCACTCGGCTGTTAACCGAGGTGTCGTTGGTTCAAATCCAGCCTGGGGAGC